CATCTCCATCTGTGCTACAATTGTTTTTCCACCCTCTGCTTTCTAGCGCTCAGAGCAGTAGCTTTCCCCCACAGTACCGTAATTGAGACCAGCCTGACACTGCCTGACACTGACTGTGATCCATTAACATCAGTTTAAATGAGATAGGGAAAGGGACCTGTGTTTGTTGCAGAGATTATGAACAGTAATAGCTTCTTTCTGGGGACTGTCAATCACTCCTGAGATTTGCTTGCGCTAAGCTTTGGGCTTTAAGTTTGTGATCAGTGGTGGTAACACTAAACCCCACTTAAGGAAATGCTCAGAGCCCCTGTTAGAAAGGTAAGAGATTTTTTTACTCCCTGGCTTGGTTTTAGCCTTTGTGCTGGGTCTGCAAGTGAATCTGCCAGGCTATACAGGGTCTGAGTCCTCTCCACAGTGTATCATCTCTTTCCATCCACCGGACATCTCTTGCCGTTGATCAGTTTCTTCTTATCTCAGTCTGTCTTGCCGACAGTTGAAATGCCATGGGAATTTCCACAGGGGCTTTCAGCCCTGTATTCCTAGTTGAGTGCCAAACCTAAATCAAGGCTGCAGATAGGACTACTCATGGATATCTGATCTCCTGAGATCCCCTATGTGCTGGAACAGGGATTCTGCAGGACCACAGCAGGGAGTTACAGTGAGACCAGGCTGCGTGCAAGCCTGCAGCCAGCCCAGCTCCCAGCTGTGGATCCCGACAGCCTTCCCTACCACCCCATGGAGCTATGCTGCCCTTGGCAGAGCACCCCATCTCTCAGCATGCACTATCTAATCCTCTTTGCTTCCTAGCCCTCTGGCTGCCTGCTTTCAGCCATTGCTGCATATACTGAGCTATGCTGCAGCCTTTCCCCATCCCATCATGCAGCATTAATCCCCAACAGCTGCCCCCTGGAGAGTTCTTGAGGAAACCTCTATCTTCTCTGCCATCCCACACAGACTGTGCCTATGGCCCTGCCTTTATAGACCCTGTAAAAGCCTCCCTCCCAGTCCTGTCTATGCTGGCTCTTCTGGATCGACACCCACTATTCAATGCAACAGTTAAGTCCCCATCCCCTGGAAACTGAGAGACGACCTTTTCTTGTTGTGGGAAGGTAACATTTAAAGGCATCCCTTGGGCTACTCTATCTGGCAGCCCAGCTGGTGCTCTTTTGTGTGAGTGCCACTCTTTTGAAATGCCAGCTCTGGTCTTAAAGGCAGCCAACAGAAGGTACAGCTCACTCTCCCTGTAATTGATTCCTCATCGGTCGTCACTGGCCTTTATTCTACCTTTTGATTAGGAAGAAGGAATAATACAGATTATAAGACAAATGCAAAGATTGCCTTGTACGGGGACAGGTTACATCAGGGTTGCTGGTGTCCTGGGATTTCCCTTGTGTTTGTCTGTCTCTGGTCAGCTGGAGAGATTTAACAGCAGATAGATGGCCTGTCTTTGTGTGTGCCTCACCAGCACATGCCCTTAGGAAATGCCAGATGGGGGAGATGGGGAAGGGGTGATAATGACAGGAATACATAACAAAACTGGCCAATTGGATTTGGACTCTGATACAGGAAACTAGGTATGATTTTGTATAAACTCAGGCAAAACAGGTGGCTGTAAGAGCTGGTTGATGGAGGACATCCCAGGTTGGCCTTTTACACCTATAGTGGTGGAGGCATAGGGGTTGGTGAGCAGGTCTCACTTTGGTTCTTCTTTAGTTTGTGACCCTTGGAAAGGCAGATGAGCTCAGGCACTTCTGTTCTCTAGTGTCTACTCACTCAGGTCTCATAAAATATTTGCTGTGTTCCTGAGCTCCCCCCTAAGTGGGTGGGTGTTACTCTCCTTGATTGTCATCATCGTATTATGTCAGCAGACACAAGTAGGTAAAAGCAGTTTACTAAGGTTCATGTGGCAAGTCACTTCAGAGCCGTGAATGAGTTTCTCACATCCCACACATGCGTGGACCATGCATTGGCCACCTCCTGCAAAGTGGGATTTTGATATGTAGTCTGTGCTCTAGGAGGGGCACCTTACAAGCATCAGGTGGCTGGTTTGGTCTGAACTTGTGTGACATGCGGGAAGTAAATATGGTTAATAAGGCATGAGATAGGTATTGCTGGATGGCACAGAGGTAAGTGTGGGAAGGCGTGAATTAACCAAGATCAGGAGCTACGGATGTTAATATTTACACAGGCTTCACTTCCCTTTTTAGCTTGGGACTTAATCCATGGATTTTCGTGACTGTAAGTGAGATCCTGGAACAACATTTGATTTTAAGGCAGTGGGCTGAGCCCAGAGTTTTCCCTTGGAAAATACAGAGCTCTGCAGCACTCGTTCCATCACACAATTGGCTTTTGGAGCAAGAGTGGAAAATTGAGATAAAGAAGCCCGAGCAACTGGAAAAGTGACTTGGAGATTTCTGTAGTCCAGGACTAAAATGTTTCATGGATCTGCCTGGAGCTCAGACCTGAAGGTTCATTTCCAGGTACCCCAATTACAGGCTACATGCCCTTAAACTTGGCTGGTAGCTTGTGGCAGACTGACACATGGGAGAAGGGAATAAATTAGAAGATCTGCTTAATCTTTAACATCTACAACACTGTGGACACAGCTCAGATGGGATAGAATCTTCATCCATGTTTAGTTCCACCTCTTGGAGTCTCTGCCCTGCCTTCCAGAAGCACATTCCCAGGGACAGCATTCCTGGAAAAGGAAGGTATTGTGGTTCTTTCCCAGCCTCAGGGAGGCTCTGTGATTTTGCAGGGATTGCAGGTATGACTATGAGATCTGACTCCCCTTCACAACTCTGATTTTCCTTGCGTAGACAGGGGTGGTGAGACGCTGCATGTTGTGGGTAGGTGAGGGAGCTTCTTTTCCAATTGCAAACCATTTGAAGAATGTCTGCTAATATTCTGTATTGTTCTATTAGCGAATTCAGGGGCCAAAAGGCTGAAACATTTTTCCTGATGCTGCAAGGACATGTAGCTGTCAGCCAGGATATGCTCAGGCTTGGTTTGGGTTTAGGCCAGGCATTCACAGCCAGTGCTTTGGGGGTAGTAATTCGCATTCCAGATGCTTCCCTGGTTCTCTTTCTATCTCACCTTGACTTTTTTCCCAGTGCATCGAAGTTCATTTGCTGCCTGATTTGTCCCAGTGCTGCCCAGGCTTTTGAGTGGCAGATCCTATCTGCAAGTCCCTACGTGAGGGTAGAATAGGCAACAGTTAGTTTTAATGCTTATTTGCTAGCAGTTTAATAATAATTCTTCATTCACTCTCAATTCCCCATCCTCACCAGCTCTGGTGTCTGTAATTAGCTTCCCTGCATTGATATTGATTGATAGGGTTATGTTGTTCCTGCATGGACCATGAGTTTGGTCAAGGGCCTCCATGAGGACTGGGTATCTTTCTTAGACAGGCTTTCCCTTGTAGGAAGCTCCTAAAGGGCAGGGCAAACACTAAGAAACCAACAGCTCAAAGCTGGTTTTGATGGAGGCTCCCATAGTGATTTCTCATCCTTGGCACTGTGTTTCAAGGAGGGAGATCCCACTCACTTATTTCTGTCTCCCCAGGGTCATGCAGTGCCAGCTGGTCTCAAAAGAGAGAGAAACAGATTACTTCACTCCTTTGTCTTGGGTTGTGGTGTGCATCCCAAAATGGGTGCCAGTGGGGAAGGGAATTGGGTAAACTCTCCATGTCCCGTCAGGCCTTCATCTAGTTTTCTCAGCTTGACTTGTTGCTAACACTTGTGAATATTTCCAGGCACAACATGCCACTCTTTCATCAGTTCACTAAATTACACGCATATTTCATTCTTTTAACCTTTTATTGTAAGTCAGCCATTCAGAATCTAAACATTTCATCATCTTTATCACGCACCTCTGAACTCACTGTGATGTATCTCTAACTTTCTGACAGCCAGGTACTTGATGGGGATACTTCCAGGTCCCTGTCCTTCACACAGTGATGTGCCAGGAATTTCAGGAGATCATGTAGAAGGGAGGTTATACAGGAAAGTCTCTTCCCCTGCCTCTTCTCCTGACCCCTCATTTCTGCCTCTCAGTAGGGCATACCTGGGCAGAATGCAGTATCCCAGGTGCAGACAGACTATGGACATATAAGTAAGGGTTATTATTGTCTCTCTCCTCTCAGATGTAATATGTCTGTCTATGGAGACCAGAAACACTGATGAGTGACAGCATGACTAGAATTGTCATTGATTGATTGATTTTTTGGTTCACCAGCTGAATTGGGAAAAAAAAAAAAAAAGGAGAAAAAAGTGTTTTAACCATGAGTGAATGATTAAAAATGGCTTTTCACTGAAACAAACAAATAAATAAATAAAAAGCCAGCTAAGAAGATGCTGCAGGAAGACAAATTGAGATAGTTTCATTTGCGGGTGGAGGGTAGGGGGCTGTGACACTGTTTTCAAAGTGAGAACTGGAAATACTTTGAGATTTATTGGTTTTGGTTTTGGTTTAATGGCAAACAAAACCTTTCGGGAGTTGGCTTTGCTTGAAGGAACTTGGAAGTCAGTGTTGATTCAGAGGGTTGTGTCCCTCTGAAAACGTGGGGCTGGGATGATACAGGCAGTGCGGTACAGGCAGTGCCCCCCAGCATTGATTTCCTCAGGAGATTTCAAGATGTGACTAGGCAAAGCCAAACTCATGTAGAGCTGGAGACAGCTTCAAGCAGGTGGTTGGATGGGATGCTTCTGGAGGTCACTCACAGCTAACATTTCTGCCACCCCCTTCTTGTGCCAATCCAGCCATGCTACAGACTGCTTCTTCCTTGTCCTGTCTTCTCTATGTTCATCTGGGTCTTTGTCCTCCTTTGGGTAGCCCAGATAGATGAAGCATTGCCAGTGGCACTTGCCCATCAACCCAGGAGAAAGCTGTCTCCCTGCAGAGGATACTGCTGGGGCTCTGCAGGCTGTTTCTGATCCCCAGAGCTGCGCCAGCCCAGTAGGTAGGGTTGCGCACACCAGTGCCTGGTTCCTCTCTTACAGGCTCCTTGAACCTGCTGGTTCGTGTGCGGAACAAGCGAGCCATCGACACCCAGGTCTGGTCACTCAGTGGGAACAGAGGGAACATGTGGCAGCAAGCACACGTGCCCATCAACCCACCCGGGCCCTTCCAGGTAAGTCAGGTCCACAGCCAAGGAGCCACCTGCTGCCTGTCCTGTCCATGTGCCATGGACTGTAGGAGACTTCCCAGCAGAGATCTGCTTCATGGCACAGGGGCTGGTTGGACGCTGGGAGCTCTCCATCCCCAGAGTCACTGGGGCAAGGTAAAAGCTTGGTGGATGCATATAAATCAAATCCACTTCTCGCTGAAGCCACTCAACGTTGTTATGTGGAAGCATCAGTTTGGCACTATAAATTTTATGATTATTGCTGGTCTGGAAACTGCTTGTCAAAGAGCTCCTTCTGGCACCAGGTCTGTGTGACAGCTCTGTTGGTGCTGGCCTGTTGGTGCAAAGTGACTTTGAGCATTAGAAGTTTCTTCTATTATGTGCTGAAAGAGCACACCCCCGTTATCATCCTGGTTTAGGACTGTAGGACACCTTGTGAATATGAATGTGGCAGTCTGTGTCTGCTCATCAAGAGCCTTATGTGTACTCAGGAAGTGGGCTGCTTCATTCCTGGATGTTTTATTGCTGATGTTCTTGCCCAACATGCTACTTTGCTGTTGGAGGGCTGTTTGTGAGAGCTGGGCCTGTGCAAGCTGCTAAGCTGTAGCACTGTGGCAAAATGCCCAGCATGCTTCTGGGTATTTTAAAATAATAATAATAATATAGTAACTCTTGCAAGCGCTGTTCAGTACTGGTTGGTTAGTTAGTGCAGCACCCTTAATACAGCACAGCTCTACATGCGCATTTATTACTCCACACTCAGCACACAGGGGTTGGTCCTGTACGCAGTGGGGTCCATCTCTTCAGATCCTATGAGTACTGGAGAAACAGGAAAGAATCATAAACTCGGGGACCTGGTAAGACCTGGTCTGTGCCCTGCTCACCTCTGCAGAGCCCCACAGCACAAGAAAGGTCCTCCACAACAGCAGCCTCACACTGGGGTCTGTCCCATGCTCTGCTTGCAGATCATCTTCGAAGGTGTCCGGGGCACAAGCTATGAGGGGGACATTGCCATCGATGATGTCACTCTGAAAAAGGGGGACTGCCCAAGGAAGCCAATTGGACCGAATAAGGGTGAGAGTGTGCATGCCTCAGAGGAACCAAGTGGGTGGGAGTGCATACATGAACACATGCTGGGGATGCCAGCTAATTTCAGAGCACATTGACGTATTGGTGGGACTCAGAAAGAACACTGATTCCATCAGCAGAAATCAGCAGAGGGGTGTCAGACCCTTAAACTTGCTCTTTACAGTTGTGAATTAGGAAGAGCTGAGAGAAGCAACCAGATCTTGTAGGGACTGTGCTGCCAGACACCAGAGTGCTGAAGTCTGCACACATTCATTAGGTTGGAGGTGTCATCCCCAACCCAACATCAGCTGAAGGTTTCTGTAGTGTCTCATTTCCTGGAAACCCTAGGAATGGGAACTTTCAGAAGGGAAGGACCTTCTGCAGGCTCTACTGGCCTTGAGTCAGTCCTTATCCAGGAAAAAAACTGCCTTTTGGGGCCTGGAGCTGCGGAGGGCTGGAGTTCTTCACATTGCGCTCTGAGCAGGGAGACACAGCCAGGCAGGGTATTGCCCATGAAAGATGGTAGTAAGCTACCCGAGATGTATATCACTTCCTTTCCAATCCTGACAGTGAGTGTGACATGGTTTAGACCCAGCCAGTAACTAGCACCATGCAGCCACTTGCTCACACCCTCTTCTCGCCTCCTGAGAGAAGAAGGAGAACCAGAAGAATGTAAAACCAGCAGGTTGAAATTCAAACAGTTTAATAACTAAAGCACAATATAATACTACTACTACTATTGAAAAGGGCAATAACAAGGTGAGAGAATATGAAATGAAAGGGAAAAGGAAAAAAGAAACAATAAACAACAATGATGCACAATATAATTGCGTACCAACCACTGACCAATACCCAGCCCAACCTGAGCAGCGATCAGTCCCTTCAGGGTGACTCCCCCCATTCACATACTGGGCATGATGTGATGTGGTATGGGATACCCCTTTGGATAGTTTGAGTCGGGTGTTCTGGCTGTGCTCCCTCCTGGCTTCTCATGCCCTCCTCACTGGCAGAACATGAGACTGAAAAATCCGTGGTCAGGGTAAGTGCTACTTAGCAACAACTAAAACATCAGTGTGTTATCAGCATTGTTCATAGACTAGAGCCAAATCACAGCACTGCACCAGCTACTAGGAAGAGAATTAATTGTATCCTATCCAAAATCAGGGCAGATGCTTAAGCTAAATCCCACCTGCCCCTTTCCAGTCCACCCACATCATCCTGGTGTAGGCATTGAAGAACCAGAGATAATCCCACCCTCACTGAGGTGCACCATAGGTTGAAGCCACAGCAAGGTGCATAGCAGTATCTAGGCATTAGTCCTTGGGCAGAAATCACTGGTGTGCCTCATGCCGTGGTCCTGCCTGTGCCCTCAATAACATGCCTCAGGTGGGCAGGACACCAGGTGTTCAGAGTATGAAAACCAGAGCCAGACAGGCACTTCTGAGCAAGGTTCAATTTGCCCTATTTATTTTTGAAAGAAAGAGCCTTGTGGAAGAATTTTTATCAACTTTCTTAACTCCAAAGATGAAGGGGAAAACAAAATATCAAAAAAAAGTCAGAAGTTTGAAATTTCAGGTTTAGGTAAAGATCTGTTTCAGCCTAGGATGGCCATGTTGTAACCTTTTGTTACAAGCAAGAACCTTTTGTTTGACTCAAGTTGAATCTTCTGGGAAAGAAAGGAGGGTTAGATTGCAAAAGTAACCAAGACTCAACCTTTTCTCCCGAGCTGGAAGAGAAATAGTTTTAGGAATCCTTGAGAATGTCCAGGGAAGGCTGGAAAAAAAGATCTTTCAGTATATCTGGGAGGTGCTCTGTGGTTCAGGGTGGGAGGAGAGGTAGACACTGCTCTGTGCTGACTTGTTTGATGAGCTTTGGATCCGTCCCATCACTAATTCTTTTTCTCTCTTCTCGACTGGCAGCGGTTGCTCTTCCAGGAAGCGGTGCCCCGGCCCTGCACAGCTCTTGTCTTTGTGGCCCATTGACTTTCTTCCTTTATGTGCTGCTCAGATGATGGCAAGAGAGCGCTCCTGTCTTCAGACCAAGACATTCCTGCTCCTTTCCTACTCAGCCACCTCTGCTCCTCTTCCTCCCCTCCTCACTGGCACACCAAAGTGTCCATATGTTACCAAAGACTTGACAGGCATGACCATGCGAAGGGATCTGGGTCAGAACTGGAGCACTCCTTGAGAAAGTCACAGTGTCTAGAACAAAATACAGAAATAAAGACAAATGTTTTTTAAAAGCACGTGCGCAAAAGTGAGAGAGAAGAAACAGAAATACACAGAAAAGAAGGAAAGACAAAAAATAGGAATGAAGAAATGTGAAGAACAAATGAAGGAGGAAAACAAACACCCCCATGTTTCCTTGGGAATGTCAGACAGGGCTTCCTCAGGGAAGTGGGAACTTGTTTTAAACAAACAAACAAAAATATATTAAAGCACAAATTTCTACCAGAACAGTTACCTTCTTTACTGCAGAGCCCACCGCTTAGTGGATGATACACCGCAGCATTCCCCTTGTCTCCCCATGCTTTACCACTGGCTTGGGCTGCCCCACTGCCAGCCTTGACCGTGGGGCAGCAGCCGCCCCTGGTGCTGGTGGCCAGAGCATCTTGCCTCGCACCACATGTGCTTCCATGTTGCCATCCATCCTCATCTACCAGGCTCTCGTGTTTAATTGCCCCCTCTGTGGTTTGCTTTGGCCTTTCACCGCCGCTCCGTGTTTCTCACCCACCAACCTGAAGAAGATGGAGCAGGAAGGGACTCATCACACGGACCATGCTGAGTGGTGGAGAAGTTCCGGCTGGATCCGGCTGCAGCGCTGGCCTCTGAGTGTCTCTTACTCCATCTCAGTACTCTTGCTGGGTGGAGAAACTATGAGAGCAGATCTGAGCTGCAGACAGAAATGTGTCTCTGTTGGGCTGAGGGATGGGGCAGCGTGGGATGGGAAGAGGGGAACATTCCACATTGGCTTCCCCTTGTGAATGTTGGGATGACAGTCACCTCAGCCCTAAGCCCAGGATTGCTTCTCTGCCTGTCTTTTGTTACCTGTTTATTTTGGTCTTTTATTCCATTGCTTAACTTCTCCCATCTCAAGCGCTTTGAATTATGGGAAGAGTCAGGCACCTAAACCTTCAGCCAGACAGCAAGTCCTGTGCCCATGGCCATCAGTGCAGGCAGTTCCAATACTGTCCTCTCACCTTCTGAGGCCTTTTTGCACACACAGTGCATTAGCTGCAGGGTGGGCAAAGTGTGGCAACAGCATTGCTGCTCAGGGAAAAGGTGGCTGGATTTTGTCAGCACCTGCAGCCTCGCAGGCACTCAGCTTCCACTGCCAAAGCAGTGGGTAGAGGAGCTGAAAGCTGGAGGCAGGAAGGATGGAGGCAGGAAGGTTGACCCAAAAGAGAGGCTTCTGCTGAACTGAAAAACAGGGGAACAGGAATGAGGGAAAAACAATTTTTCCCTGTTGGCATCATGAAAGGTTAAAGCTGGTGTCTCTCTCTGCTGCAGACTTGCAGCAGGTCTGGCCTGACCTCCTCAGGTCCAGATGAACCCCGCGGGAGAAGGGACTGCCCTGCACAGGCCAAATGCGAGCTGTGATAGCCTTGTTGCAACGGGGAGCAGCTCTGGGCATGAATTACCTCCATGCACAGGGCAGAGTCAGCCCCACAGGACTGTGAATTGGGGTTTACTAGCCACTCTGGCAGTTCAGTAAGTGGGGTTCTTCCCCCTAAAGGACAGCCCATCCAAACTCCATACCTGGGGAACCACAGCTACAGGATGAGCTAGCTCTTTCACTCAACAGAACCCCCAGTACCCATGGCTCCTTAACCATTTTGATTAATGTATTAGCTTCTCTGAGCCAATTGTGTCTAAAAGCACCTGAATGTATTAGCTGTCCCCTGCATTGCTCAGCTTCCAGCAACAGCTGTTGCCCCATTTCTTCTACTGATGGGGGAGGAAAGCTCTTATTTAATTCCCAAGACATCCAGTTTGAAGTCTTGAAACCCATCACTGTCCAGCTCCTGGAAGGGCATTCATCTGCACTAATGCTCCCCAGACATCACTGAAGAGAGAAAGGGCATCAACTCTGAGGGAAAAGCGGACCTCCTTCACAGGAGGCCTCGCAAGACAGTGAGAGGGAGTGATAGAGTTCTCCCTTGCTCCTATTGCTTTTCTTCACTTCTAAGGATGAGGACTGTGTCTTTTTGTCTCCACCCCTTCCTCCAGAACCCAGACCTCAATCACACTGCATATTTGACCAGGAGACCTGGAGCTGCGTCCCAGGGCCAGGCAGCATTGTGGGATGCTGAGTGTCAGCAACAATTCTGCTTCTTGCTGCCTGTCTGTTGCCATTTTCATGGGCAGCCAGTGCCACCACCATCTTTTAGCTGAGTTCTTTCAGTTCTGTCCTTTTCTGTATGTTTGTTATAGGCCAAAAATCATCACCCCACTCCTGAAGAGTCTACTTTTCATTCCTAGGAGAAATGGTGCTTTCCATGAGACCGTGGATGCTTCATGATAGCTCCTGATCTGTCAGTGGCAAAACATTTGTGCTACGTTGCTGATTCTAGGGCAGAAGGTGGAGATAGGAACATTTCCCCATCAGTAAGAGATAATCCAGGGCAACCATTTCACCTTCTAGGCTCTGAGGCAGAGACCCTTGTGGCTTTGCTTCTACTGGCTGCTTAGCCAGGCTTGTATAAGCATGTTTTGTTGATGTTCAGTGGACAGCAGAGGGACTGTGGGGCCGGGGAGGTGCAGCCTGAAGGTTCAGGATCACAGACAAAACATTATCTGTGAAGGAAGCATCAGCCAGGGGGCACCACATTTTCAGAAAGGGACACCTGCAGGGAGGGTGTCCGTGCCCTGCTGCCAGCTCCTGCAAGGAAGGATGTAAGTGCCTCACTAAGCCAACCCATGGCACAGGGACAGTTGGGTCCAGGGCAGATGAGAACAAGCAGACAGCCCCAGCCAGAGGTGAAGAATTTTCCTGGTGTCAGGCATGGGCCCATCAGCTTCAGTAAAGTCTCAGGGAGCCCCTTCCTGCTTAGACCTCTACTCCTTTATCTCTGGCTGGAAAGCAGCTGGTGATAAGTTTGGGGGGAAGTCATTAATCCAAGTGCCTCAGCTTCTCAGAAGTGCTGAGGACAAAAGGAAGGACCTCATTTCCCTGGCAGATGTGCTAAGAGAGTGTAGCAGAGGAAAGAGGCACTTGAGCAGCAAGGATGAGAAATTGTGCAATGATGGGGGAGAGACAGTGTTCCTCCTCTCTGAGGACAGTTGTATTTGTGGTTTACTACCCTATTCTTGATGGGGCAATTCTCCTTGCAGTGGTAATGAATCCCAGGTGAGATACAAAGCCATGCTCCTTACCCCTTGTAATTAAAGATCCCCTCACACTTTTCACAATGTTCTGGCTAAATTATGATCCTTGAACTTAATTACATACTGTCTTCTTAAATATCTGTTGCAGTCCCAACATTAGATTTCTCTTCCTGATGTTTTATGTTGTTCTGTGCCTGTCAAATTGCTGCTTTATTCCACTCCAGAAGTGGCTGCATTTCAGTGATGGTGGAGATTATTCCTGTACATAGTATGAAAGTCACTGCAGAAGAAAAGTGCAATATAAATTTAAGAGACTGCTTTTATTTACAAGGAGACTTCTGCTTGGTAGTTGTAGAAATACATTAGGAAGAATGCTCTGTGGGTGTTAGCCAATATATACTCATTTTCTTTCTTTTTTTTTCAGGGTATAAACCAGAAAATATGTGAGTGTGCAGGCTCCTGGGTATAAGTTGTAGATATTAGAAGGAGTGACCGCTACTGTGTAGTTACAAGTTGGGCTTACAAAGAAACTTCCATTTGAAAGCTCTTTTTGTAGTTCATTGTATTCTGAAATATATACTTTTTTAATTATAATTTTCCACAGTTCAATGCAAGTCCAAATAACAGGTCATCAGCAGGACTTTAATCCATGGCTTTTAACCATGTGAACATCAGTTCCTCCCCCTTGCTCTGAAAAGCGGCTCCTGCCTGGTACCAGTAATAGACTTCTTTTCTTCCACATAGATCAGCCGCTGGAAAGCAACGGAGCTAATATGTTTCATTTGATCTGGAGTTAAGTAATTTGGAACGCCCGAGTGCAACTCTTCCCAGCCGTACGGGAGTGAAAAAGTATTTCATCTGTATGAAAAACCTCATGTAGTGCACAAACGGTTTGGAAACTCCTCAAGTTAAGTGTTGTGATTAGCATGCATGCAGAGCTGCCCCAGCAGAGCTGCCTGGAAAGCAGCTGTGGCAGCAGTGATATGGAGCCCTTCTTCTGGGAAGTAGCTTTCTTCTGGAAAGAAATAGAGTGGTAATCAGGGAAAAGAAAGAGGGGAGAGTCAGATGTTTAGGCTGGTAAATTTCTTGCAGAAATAATTTATAGATGTATGAATGAGTGTAGTAAATACGATACAAATTGTGGTTTATTCCCTATTGCTATTCGAAGTACAGAAATTTAATTTCTATATGAAGTCCTGTGGGTGCATTATTCAGAATGACATGAAAATGCTTTAATATCAAAGGGAGAGCAGTGTCTGGATTTCTCCTCCTCAGCCCACCCCTATCACTCTGTGTCAGGAAAAGCACACTGCTTTTGGGTTGGTGTGCTGTGCTTCTCAGCCTGGGAGGGACAGTCACTAGGAGCAGCAAGCAGCACTGGTGGGAGAAGCATCCCTCCATCATGCCATCACTTCCCACAGCCCTGTCTCCAGTGTGAAGAAGTCCTGTGCAAGGCCCTGGCAGGAGCAAACACTGCTCCCCCCCAGCTCTCAGTGAGGCTGAGGCAGGGAGTTCCACCTGCAGGAAAAGCCAGGGGGTCCTTCACTCTGCCCCAAAGGACCCCAGCTGCCCCAGGCGGTGGCAAAGGAATGAAGCACCTTTCCCTCCTAGATGGGTTAAATGGTGTCACCTCACTGAAAGAGACAAACTTTTTCCTTAAAGCAGAGAGTTCAGAGAGTTGCTGCTTCAGGATGTTGCTGGTTCAGTCTCCTTTGTCTTTGGGAGCCATGCATATATCCATCTTTCCCTGGAAATGCTACAGCACCCATTTGCCTTCTGGGTGCCTTTGGGCAGCCTTGTAACAGCATGGAGGGACACATCACTGTGGGCTCTGTGCTTTGAGCTGGGTGCAGTGGGACACAGTAGCACAGTAACACCCAGCTCTCGCACCCAGGGGGCAGGATCCTGGTTTTAGTGAGGATGAGAAACTGCATTCTATCTCCTGTGCAAAAGAGAAGCCATTTCACACTCTGGGCTTTGGCAGAGACCAGCTTCAGTCCCTCTCTCTTTTTCCATTGAACTGCCCTGACACGTTGTGTTTTTCAGGATGTCCTCAGTGTGGGTGCAGCCCTGTTTGTAGAGACAACAGGCATGCAGCAGCAGGACCCTGTGCAGGCTGCAGGAGAAGCCAGGTGTTGCCATCACTGATAGCTGCTCATCCTGCTAAGCCTGGGAAGGTATTTAATGCAGACAAAAGACATTTGCAGAAAAGTAAGTGCTGGAGAGCTCTGGAAATTGACTTTTAACAGGACCCAATTTACACTCCATGTTCATGACTGGCAGCTGGTGGTTTCCAGCAGGGAGCTGAATAGCCCCAGTACACTCAGCATCCCAAATGACTGGTTTTCAGTACTTCCCTTTGGAGTAAGACACATGCCAGTTTGTCTCATTGCCACCACCTAGCCCACCACAGGGGGTTTCTGGGGTCTTCCAATGGCCACTGACAGCCTGGTATGGTCACATCAAACCAGATGGCCACTTGTGCCCTAGAGGCCTTAAATATTCTCAGGAGTACCGCAGGCCATCCCAGAGACACCTTCATCCCACCTGCTTTTCCAGAGAGGAAGGGGTTGCATCTGGCAGGGAGCTGTCCAGGACACCTCTTGCCCATGGAAGGGCAGTGCCACTCTGTTTAATTTTGGCTGAGGTTTGTGCCTGACACCTCAACCCTACGTTTGGTATAAGATACATGATCAGTTGCTTTGCCATCAAGCATCCGTCCTCAAAAGGGGAGAGGCCCAGAGATCAACAGCAGGTTAGCCAGGCTGAGCCCAAACCACCTAAAACTGAGTGCAGCCCCATTTCCCCCCTTCATTGCAGCCTCAGTGGGCAGGGACCAACTGGTTTTCTTTTGGTGACTGTGACATACACTGTGGCACTGAGATGAAACTGCCCTGGGTGTTGCTTGCACTGTGTAGGTCCAGCCCTCAAAGGTGTTTATCTTAACAGCTTGTAAAGGGATCAGAAAACTAAGGGGGCTGTGTGTGTTACAGCTGCCAGCGATGCAGCAGGGAGGAGACAGCACTTGAAAGCACCTTTTGGACACATCTCCAACCAGTCCACACGTTTGCCTTTTCCCACTATCCACATTCCAACCCGGAACACCCTTCAAGGTGGGGGATTTGGTGTATCTTGTCTCACTGAGTCTTGTTCCCCAGAACCAGCTATGGCTATAAATAAAGAGAGCATAAAGAGCTGGGAGAGGCTGTAGCAGCATCGTCAGCTCAGGCAGCACCTGAGCTGTGAGAGGAGAAACCCGATTTCATTTTCTGTTTGAAATTCCACAAGCATTGACTGGGGGCAGTATTTAGGAATTTCCTATAGGCAGCAGCATCCACCATGCTGGTATTTACAGAATGGGAGCAAAAGAGCTTTCCTGTGAATTTATCTGGTTGTTTCCTGGAGGCCTTCATATGTAACATCCTGGGACAAAAACACTCCCTCGGAGTTTGATGGAGGAGACCTTTTCCTCTCATCAAACCTTGATGTTTGTCCTTCTGTGCTGTCCATCCCCAGCTTCTTGGTGCACTGATGTAACTGGTAGCATTAGCACTGGGTAGAGTTGCTTAGTGTCAGTGCTTTCAAATTAGATGAGCTTGGCCTGTTTTCCCAGTTCTTGGGATCTTCTAGACTTACCATCTCACCCCAGAGAGCTCCAGAGCATGCATTCATCTCTCAGGACATACCCAAAAGCTGTGGATGCTACAGATACGTGGCTGTGCTTTGTGGTTTTGATCACATCCCTTGCCTGACAGCATGGAGACAATCTCTAATGTCTAGATGAGATGGAAAATCTGGTGTCAGTGTGGTTTTGCTTAGGTTTTTTTCTCCCAGGCAGAACCATCCTGCCCGTACTGCAGTGCACATAGTGGAGGAAAGGGACCATCACCCAGGATCTACTTGTGTCACGGGGAAACAGCTCTGGCACCTCCTGCCTTTGGCCAGAAGCGAGAGTCAGTGTTTCCCACACTCTTCCTCACTCCATCCCCCAGCTCTGTACTTAACCTCACCAAGTGTTTAACTTCCAGACTGGAGAGATCAGCAGCAGACTTCAACCCTGGATCCCATAGAAGAGGATCACATCAAAATCCCATCCTCAGCTTGCGAGGGGCAGGGAGAACCAGCTCAGGCCCAGTGGTGAGCCACTTCAGTGGGATCCAGTGCCAGTGGGACTACATCACCCTCATGCTTCTCCAGGTCACCAAGGCCAGTAAAAAGTATACATTGACCTGACAGAAGTGTTTAGAAACACTCCCCAAAAAGAGCTACATATAGACTTTGTGTATTTGGGGATACTGTGGAGAATGGGGGGGGGTCCTCTGGTGTCTCTTGTTTCTTTTTCCACCGGTATCCTGGGTGGAGACCCTGGCAGAAAGACCCATTCCCCATCATATCCTCATCCCCGCTCCACATCTCATAGGGTGCTATCACCATCATCAAGCAGAGCTGGGACCCTCTCGCCATCACACCACCAAGCTGTCCATGGTGTTAAAAGCACAAAACACAAAGGGACTGAACTGAACCTTTTAAACAGGGTGAGATGTTTCATAAGCACTGCTTCATCCACCCCACTCCCCCCCCGACACACCCCCCATGTGCCCTGTAGACTCTCAGCGTGGATTGTTTCATTCAAATAAAGCTGCAGTACTCCAGTGGGTGAGCCTGCGTGTCCCTCTGTGTCGGGTCGGGGTGACAAGGTGCAGCCGGCAGCTTGTGCTCACAGTGGTTGGGGCAGGGAGGAGCTCATTTGGCTGCCTAACACTGGGGTACGTGCCAGTGTTTGAGCCTTGGGTTACCAAAATGTCTGGTTAAGTCCCCAAGGAAGACTTCTCAGTTTTGCTCAGACCTCACCAGAGGGGCTGGACATAGGATATGGCACATGAGGGTTTCGGGCATCTGGTGCTGGGGGAGCCTTGTGAAGGGAGCAGGGGGTGGGTGGCATAGAGCCCTACCCTGAATGTGCCCTTACGCAGCACTACTATCGCCTTTCCCAAACCTCTCCTTACCACCCCAGCTACTGAGCTTGCTGGCTCCTGCTGCCACTAAGCAAAGCTGGTCCTCTTCTGTCCCTTGATCTTGACCTCTTCCTCAAGGATAGGGCAGCAGCTCCAAAACTAGTGGGTATGAAACAAGCCAGCAGCTGTGGGCTGTCAGTGTGGTGTCAGGTCCCCTTGTCCTAGTACTCCCCTCCACCCTTGGGTCTGCAGCATTGGTTGAGCTACTCCACAGACCCATCAGGGAATAGGGAATGCCCCCATGGCCCTTGTGACGCCTAAGATGTTCTTGGGTGAAGGTGTCTTCTTTGTGCCGTGACATCTGCAGGGCTGCTTAGCTAAAGCCTAAGTAAAAATTGCCTCATCCCAGCACTGTGGTTAGAGCAACACTTAAGAGAACTGATGTGAGAGTCAAAAACAGTTTCATGTTTACATGCCACATGCTGCAACTGTTGGCTGAAGCCCCACAAAACATTAAACAGCACCCAGGTACCTGCTGTGACTGTGGCCCAGTAGATCACACAGGCCACAGCCATAGCCCCCACTTTGGCTGGTGTCAGTAATGCTGAGTCAGTGGCAACTTGGGCTGCCTGGAGAAAG